ACTAAGTGTCTCTAAGTAGTCCAGTCAAGCTTACGCTGGGAAAGGCGTGACCACTCAATATATCAGTAAAAGTGGCAAAGGGGGACGTTAGACAACTCACCACGCCCCGCCCCCCCAAGAACTGAGGGGGAAAGAAGCCTACGCAACCTGGCCCAAATGGCACACCCAAGGCGCAACTCAAACATATTCCCACCCCAAAACCCAACCCACCCCCAAGCCGACATCGCAACCAAACCGGTATCAACAACACAACCAGAAACACACCCCTCACGTCCCCTATAATAAACTCCTGTAGAAACCCATATCAACCCTCAATAACAAAACCAAACCCCCCCCCCCCAATGTCCCCTCATCTGAAAGTCAAAGGAACTAAACTCGCTTCAATAAAAATAATGAACCTCCCTAAGCTACCAACTTCATCAATCTCAACACTACACACCCCCAATGAACCACGTATCATGTTCGATGACCCCCCTGATGACTCTGTAATTGACTAGGAAATGGAAAAATCTGTTGAAAAATTGAAGATCATGATCAGCGAGACTGCCAAAAATGAGGAGAAATCGCTGGACAAATCGTAAATCATCATCAAAGAGTGGAGACTCCCTATTCTCTAACCCCTTAAGCCCAAACTCATATATGTCATATCAATCTTACACTCCCCTGGTTCTCCTTTGGGCAAATGATGATAGTCAACATTAACTATCATATATGTATAACAATTGAGGCTCTAATTACTCAACTAAATCTGTCATAGATATGATTTCGTGATCATCCAAAACAAAGAGCTTATCTCATTTTGTCTTACAAGATTTAAGTAATACTTTTATTTATTATTAATTTTAGCTAAATGTTATGACAATTTTTAGAGTGAAGATCTCTCCTACTACTCTAATTAAACAAACATTTTCTTTTTGAGAAGCTCCTCTATAGGTCTTAAAAACTTAATTAAATTATTATGCATTCTTCAGGAATTATTTGTTAGTGATTACAGGACTTTTAACCAAAAGAATTTTAAATGCTACATGTTCATGAGAAGTAGCTATCATAACAGCTTCAGTTGTATTATGAAATTTACTGATCTAGGCATAAATAAAGTGGATTAGCGAATGATCTCGCTCTTAATTGAATTATTGATATTGTAATTCCATGACTATCATAGTTAATTAGGCATGCTTAAGCGAATGTCGTTAGGAACTCAAGTTTCAAATGCATACTGTATTCATGAAACTATTTGATGATATAATAAATGAAGTTACACCAGCCTTACATTTCTTGACACAGCCGAGTTTAAGAAGGCTAAGGTTATGGAGGCTGACAACATAAAAATGCTGAGTTTCCAGAGTAATTATATAAACTGTAAATACTGGTTAACATTATTGGAACTATAAAAAAAACAATACTAAAACTCATTGCCAGTGCCTTTAATTTGCTTGAGTTAGTTATCTGAAAAGATCTCTTAATATAATGATTAGAATATTGATGAAAACCAAAAAAGTTAGCAATTAGTTGTTAGGAACAAACGTTGATTATGCATAGTAGGATTAATAACATAAACCTGTAGTACTAAAATAGGTAAACACACACTTAATAATTTCATTAGGCCACCTGCGATTATCACAATTCTATATATTTTACTCTCTTTTTCCGGCAACAAAGAGGTTCAGGAGCTAACATTATCTCAACTTATGTGTATAATGTCGAAATCCAATTACTTGTCAAAACATCAATGTATGCTTCTTCCCTGTTAAGGTTGCTCTCTAACAATAAAATTACTTATTACACAAGTCAAACATAGAAAATGATGGCAGACTTGATAATCATTATGTTAAAATATCTATTGCAGACATAGCATATCAATTAGGCATGAATAGATATGTTGGCTCTCTCGAAACAAATGCTGGTTCTTCTTGTGTACGCTAAAATATATTACTACTTAAATTGATATATGCAAATCATTTGCTTCAATGGCGATTTCTCATATTATTCATCAACTTGGGATCCAGAGATGTATTACTTTCTGTCTTATATCTTTCATCCTTTTGTGTTTAGATGTTGTCCAGTCTGCTTTTACAACTTGTATGATCTCATTTAGTACTTATAGTACTTTGTTATAGCATAAACGATAAAAAGACAAATATGTATCTAGTAGCGCTTGACTTGAAGCCTAAGTTGCTTTTATATCAGGGATGGTATTAATTTATATCATCCGTTGTGCTTCATAATTGCTCGGCTTTTGATGATCAATTTTATTTAAATCAACATACATGTACCAGCTGTATATTTTGATGCAGACACCTGCAGCTAATGAGTAATTTTTTCCGAAATATTAGCAAATGAAGATTAAGGGAAATGCCAATAAACAATTCAATATTTTTTTGGACTGAACTTTAATAATTATAAATATATGTATATAAATATAACAAGTATATTAATAGCCAATAATATGAGGCAACTAAATACCTTTATATTATTAAGTAATTATGGATTCATATATTTTTTATTAAATTTCGGAGGAGCTTCAAAGTAGTAAGGGTCAGTTGGTGAATTTAGAGAAATAAATTCACGAATATTAAAAATATCATCCCATTTAAATGTTAAAAGAGCGATTTCACATTCAGCGGATAATCTACATTAAGTAAGTAAAAATTGTTTATTCAAGTTAATAAGTCCAAAGAGGTCCAAAAAAAGTTATGTCCTCCAAATAATATTGTCAATGGATCAATCAATTATAGTAAAAATTATAATTTATTTGAAGTAGTCACAACTGCCTATGCTTAATCTATCTAAACCTGATTATAATAAACCGATTTTCTTGGGATAACAATGATTAATCTGATATCATCCTCCTCTAAAAGCCTCGAATTAATAAATGTATTAAATAAACGTTCTAATAGTTTTAAAGAAGTTAGACATTCATGAAAATTAGTGTCTAATCCAGTTTTGTTATTGGATTTTAATTAAATAGGTTTTAGTAAATAATTAAAATACTCAATATTAACCTTGATTCTAGTGCAACAATCTTCAAATTAATCGCACTCTTCAAGAATATGCTACTAGCAGTGCTTGAATTAGAATAATGATATTCAATTTATTTTTCTTCATTTTTAATACAAATGTTTAAAACAGACTAAAAAACCTACTTCAACTTCACATCTTTAATTGCA